CAAACCTTGGTTTCACAACAAAAGGCTCTCCCGCAATATGATTACCACCATGAACCGCCTTAGAAGTAACCATTTTAACTTGAATCATAGTCTCTACCAAAAAAACCTAATGGATCATCCTTCTTGTCCTTGCGGTGGCCCCCTCCAGGATCTTGTACATACATGTTATCTTTAACTGCCCTCTTATTGAAACTCATGCCTTTCCTTAATTGAGAACGGCCCTGCAAGACTACATTCATAACATGAATTGACATTCGATACAGGATCCATACTCTTCCCTTATACTTGTGCTAAATGATCCTACTACAAAGATATGTCGCTTGTTTGTGAGCTTTGAACTCGCCTGTGATCGCTTACTATAAGTTTCATATTTCGCGGCGCTACCTCGCGGCTCTCGCTCGGCACGTATACACCGGAGCGCGGCATTGACCCTTCTCCTTGTCCCAGCGGTCTTCTATTATTCCTGTTGAACAACTCAAATTGCAATCTTGTCAAATTACATTTAATTGAGCCTGAATATGTAAGATTTTATCATTGAAAATATTCAGAGCTATATAGAATGAGATATTCACACGTAATGTTCAATTCAAGAATATTTATTATTATTTAAAGACAACATAGAGAACATAATAATAATAACGTCTGTTTAACGTTGTGTTTTAGAAATAACAAATATATAGTTTACCTTGACAAATTTGATTGTAAGAATGTAAAACTTATTTTTAGAGGCCTTAATCTCTATACCACGAATACACGCACATCTTAGTCTTAGTTGTGTTAGTTCTTTTTCTTTTATGTGTAGTATGTAATCTCACAGTAAAAGTATTCGGAGTACTTGTAAAGCCCGATGTCCACGATACTAGAAATCGGTCCGAGATCTTGGACAGAGAAAAAATCGACAAATTACATTTGAACAATTTGATCACATGACCATTGCGATTGGTCAATTCTTTTTTCATCCGAGGTCTCGGACCGATTTCTAGTATCATGGACACAAGGCTT